GTGACTTACCCACTTCACCTGAATGTTGGCCTCAAGGATAACTGTCTCCTAAAAACTTCTGCTTCTCACTTTAGATAAGCAGAGGTTAAACAGGCTTCCTCTAGGGATAAATTTGGGGAAAGGTTTATATGGGAGCTGTTCCTAGCACAAGAATGGTCAAGTGAGGTTCTGTTATCGCCTCTTGCTCAGCCCTTTGATTGCCTGGCTGCATTTCATGCTGTAAGGAAGCTTTGTGTGGCTCCTCTGATGAAGTTCAGCTGTTTAACACATGGCTGGGAAGCACAAAAACAGCGAGACAGCTGCATAATTGAGCTGCTGCCCAACTCTTATTAGAGCAGCATCCTAAGCCAAGCCTTCAAATTTCTTAGAGAAAAACTCACTAAAGTGCAAGGAGCCAGCTCTCGAGAGGGTGTTCTGAAGCATCTCGTCAGAACTACCTCTCTGCTGCCTTGGGTGCTGAAGGAAATGGGTTTTGGTGTTGATGAACTGCGGGTAAACCACACAACTTTTAGGAGGGAAAGAAACACAGATGCAGAAAGAAAATTTTATAGAGTTGACAAAAAAATAAAAAAATCAAAAACACTTCTGCAAATTTGCCTGTAGCTGAGAGCACAGTCAGATCGGATTCCTATGAGCTAACCATGGTAGCAAGAGCCATCGATGGGAGTCAACATGGAGCTGGCATTAACTAATTAAAAAGAAAATCAATCATGTACATGCTGGAACCTGACAGCCCACAGGTACTCAAGATAAGCTTTAATAATAGCAATTGCTTTGTGCTGCAAGAATCACTTCCCAGCACAAATAAAGCACTGTCCTGGGTAATGTACACCCCGTGCCATACCCTGCATGAGGGGTTTGGAGGGGCCCCACTGTGGGACAGGGCTTAACACACAGTCACTCAGTTACAAGCTCAAGGGGAAATGAAGGTTTCAGCACAGCAATAGATGAAATAGATGAAATTAAATTGTGTTCAGATAAAAAGAAGAAAACCTTGAGCATTAAGTAATAAATCCCAGGGATTTCAGAATTAAAGCCGGAACACTCTCTAACCTACTCCCATCAATGTACCTGATTACAGCATAAATGTAAGATCATTGCCTGTTTAAGAGTCCTCTTAATTTATTTGCGCACAGCTGGCGCATCTGAAGACACTGAGCTTTAAAAACTGAGATGTGCTCGCTCTCTCTGTCTGACATATGGTTAAAAGGTAACATTTCACAATATTCAGCAATATTTCAAGATTTGTTATCATGCTATTAAAAGTATTTATGGGTAACTTGGGTGAGATTTTCTGCAGAGCTGGAGAAACCCACTGAAATCTAAGGGAATTGGTTCCCATTACTAGGCAGTGCTTCTAACTTCCACAGCCTTTGGAAAATCCCCATCTAAATGAACTATCAGGAAATTCCTTTTCTAAATCATCAACATTATACCAGGGAGATACAATTTGGTGCCGTCTGTTTTAAAGGCTGTTTTTCAGAGAGCAGAAGTGTAAGAATTCGAAAAATTTGGGTCCATTCAAAGTGTTTCTGTTTGCCTTTCACCCCTCAGCTGAAACACCTAATTCACTGCCATTTTTGACAGTCCTGTCCACAACGCCTCATGGTGTATAATAATGTTATAATAGTTTATCCTGAAACCTTTAGTGATTGCTGGTTGGGAACCCAGGGTATTCTCCATATCCAAAGTCAGTCAGAATTTTTGTTCCACGAGTAATAAAGAATGAGAGCAGCAAACAATGCAGAGCTGTTTTGAGAAGCCAAGGTTACCTTTTAAGAGGGCCAGCAGCGCTGTGCATAGCAGAGCTGCTTTTCATTCCCAGCAGGAAGGTTCCTGCCACTTCCCATCTCTCCGGGGTGGCCGCGTGCTGTCGCAGACCTGCTCAAGTGCAGTCGATTGCACAGCTGAGGACTTAATGATTTTGTCTGCACAAGGCTCTGCTAGGACTTTTAGGCCAAGGTCAACCACAGAGACTGTTTGTTTGCTTTGCTAGGTGCTACCCTTGGAAAGCAAAGACAATGATTCTGTTTCAATAGGTGTCGTTGCTTGTACCTGCATTACAGTGCTGTATACGGCTCCTCATCTTTCTTTGCTAGGAAGAATATATCTCACTAAACCAATTTGTGTCCTCGGTCAATGAAAGCTACCCAAGGGATGCATTCCCCGCACTACTGGCCTGCCATATAGATTAGGAGCATTCCTTAGAGAATCGGATGGTAATAGCTGCTCGAGCAGCCTTTGAATCACTGCAGTGAAAACAAGCGCGTGTCCACAGGCAAGGCACAATGTCTACTCCTTACCCCAAGGATCCATTAGGGAGATTGCTGCTTGCTAATGGACTTCCTCCTGAGATGCTTTGGCTGCCAATACCCTCTTGAATGATTTCCGACAGCTTACACAGTTAGCGGCAGGGAAGGTGTTGCAAAGTCCTGTAGTTCTTGCTGCTCCTGTAAAATAGTTTTTATCCCTTAAATAAATCTTATCAAGTACTATTTTTAATACACATTTAAATCAGTGAGTCAGTCTTCTTCTGCACTGATCTCTGCAAAAGCTCCAAGATAAATCTTCCTTTATATTGATTGTGTTGTTTGGAGTTAATTACTTTCAGTGCCTGGAAAACATCCTTTCTCTAGTATCCTTGCAAGGTGATGTTCCTTAAAACAAGAACTCCCAGCTCCCAACCAGTCCTCACTTCCCTGGGCTCCCGGAACCCCCCAGTCTTTGGAAGCGTGGGGTGTTTTTGTTAAGGTTTTTGCAAAGTTTAGAGACCTAGAGCCAAGGTGAAAGGAGCAATACACAACCCTATTAGCATGAATGATAAATGCTTTTCTGACAGAGCTGGACACTCATGCCGTGAAATTGGGCGTGCAACAGCTTAGCCTGAACCACCAGGCATCTCCTTGCTGATCTGGGGGTTAATAACCCCGGAGGAGGTGCTGGTTTCCTTCTCCCTTGGGTCTGAGCTACTCTGCTGAGTTTGCATGCGGCGCGTCGATGGGTCTGGCCCGATTTCTCAGGGATCAAGGAGACAACAACTTATCTGATTTCTCGTGTGCCAGCGCAGGGCTATTAGTTGGCTACAGGTTGGTCAATGCTGCGAGAGCTTCCTTTGAACTGGGGACCTGGAGCTGAAAGCCGGGGCGCCTCGTCATCGCCTCCAGCATCCCGCAGGTTCTCCCTCCAACAGGGCTCGCATTTGAGTCGCTCGTGTCCATATGTACCCAGCATTTTCCTTGGATTTGACCAGCGTTCAGCATCCCATAAAGAAGAGGGCAGTGCAGTGCTCCGGCTGCCAGAGCAGCCCTGTGCGTGCCAGGGGGAGATTACCCCAGGTACCAACTGCTCTCTCCTTCCCTCGGGAATCCTCCCAGGAGCCCGGCTCAGCAGCAGCTGTCCTCACGCGCGGCCCTCGCGTGCTCTCCCACGCAGGCCAAGATAAGCCCCTTGAAGTCTTGCTTCTTTCACTGGCAGCAGCTTCTGAGGCTCCAGGGCCCCCTCTCCCGCTTGCCAACTGCTCCGTCAGGTCTGTGCGAGCAGCTGAGCTCGGGGCAGCGCTGGGGACACCAGATTGCAGGACCCGTGCGGTGCTCTGCGCACATGGGAGGGCTCGGGAGCCTTCCCTGGCATGTTTGCACCCTGCCAGCAGCCCACTGCTGAGCAACAGCAGCAATTGTGCTCTCTGAGGCCTTTTTTTAAAGTCAGATATTTGGAACTGCCTCCGTTTGGCAGTCCTGACAGCTTGACTCAGCTTCTGAGGGTAAACAGAGGCAAGCTGGGCCCGGCCGGCTGGAGATTCACCTTGGTAAGTCGTTCTCCCAAGAGCAGAGAGGGTCACAAGACTTGTCCCGTTAGCAATGCCGTGCTCGACACGCTCTCCCAGCCCGTTCATTCGAGTTTGCGGAGAGAGGCCCGCGGCACTGAGGGGATCGCCGGCTGTCCTGGCTCTAACACTGCACAGCCTCCAGGAGCGCCTGTTTTGGGAGCTTCTTGTGGTCTAGCAACAAACATACCATAAGTCTAGCTGCTTAAATGTCTTCCAAGTGTTTTTCAATTCCTGGCTCGTCCTCGGGCATTTCTGAGCCACACATATCGTACGTCTCACATCTGTCACTCAGCTTCATGTTCAGGACACGAGGGGAAGTCCTTTGCTGCAAAGCCTTTTCCCTCTCCCTGGTTTCATTTTCATATCTCTATCCCTCATTGAGGAGCAATATCCCTTTCAAAGAAATGCCAGGGAACCCATTTGCAGAATTTACTGCTGCTTCCCAAGGCTGGAGTGTCCTCCTCTTTAGCAACAAGCTGTTAAGCATGTTCTTAAGTGGCAAGATAAGTGTTACCATCCTTTCATCTCCTGGCTCAGAGCATGCTGGAGATAACTGATAAGGGGATGACAGCACAGAAGATGCATAGGCACCTTTGGATTTAATTCCTACTTTGCAAGGCAGTCTTTAAAGCACAGCTGCGGTGGGAACACAGGCTGGTAAAATAAAGCTGGTCCTTCCTTTTTCAGCATATGTCTTTTCCTCATGTCTCTGCAGCAGATCTGCTGTCAGTACCAGCAGAGCCCATGCAGAGATGTGGAGGGAGTTAAGTTCTCCACTTCAGACCCTTTCTTTTGGTGCTGGCATCCAAGGGACTCCACATGATTTGGAATCTGCTAAGAGATAGTAGTGCCAAGACAGTCCAAAACAGCCAGCGATTTGGATGCACTAGACATGCTTTGAAGGGGAGCTGATCCGGCGGGGCAGATGTTCAACATCTTTGGTGATCACACTGCTTTGTGCCCTCTCAGACTGGGCTTTCAAACAGGAAGACTCCCCAGATCCCGAGTTACTTTAGGACTGTGTCTAGACGCTGCTTTCGTTGGTGCTTTTATTTCCACAGTTCTTTTTTTACAGCAGTCCGTTTTGGCTTTGAGCTCTGCCTTTAGCAGGGCTGTGTGAGCAGCGTGGAGCAGCAGCCTTGCACACATTCCTGTGCCTTGGGTCTGGGGAGAGCATTACATCAGCTCCAGCACCACGTGGGGCGCAAGGCTGCAGACCACACTGGAACAGGCTGTGCATTCAGCTCCAGAATTCCTGCTCCGCTCCTGCGTCTGCCGCTGGGACAGGTGGCCAGCACATGCTTTGGGAAGGGTCCTGCTTGGGAATGGGCTTTGAGGCCAGCTGTATCCGGCCCACATTCCAGCTGGGTCCTTGCACCCCAGCTTCTGGCCTCAGTGCTGGGGATTCCTAGCCCTGGGACACATGCCGGGCGTGCAGTGCAAACTCCTTGAAGCGCTGTGCCAACCTGCCGCTTTTCCCTGCGAGGAAGGAGGGCAGAGTGGGTGAAGCAGCTTAGCAGCTCCTCCGGGGCGCAGAGCCCAGCGAGATGCTGCTCATCCCACACGCACCCGAGACAGCGTGTGTGAGGGAGCTGGACGCAGGTGAAGCTTGCGAGCTGTTGGCATGCCAGCCCTGGGGACATCGGAGGTGCTGGGCTAGCTGAGTGAGGGCTTCGTGGAAGCTTTTGGCAGGGTTTCCAGCTCAGTTTGCGAGCAAGCATGATCCGGAGCAGACAAGGCCTGCCGCACTGAGGAGACAACATCCAGGTGCTGCAGCTGAGGCCATCGAGGAGCCCTGGTTAGAGCCAGGCTGTTAGAGTGGGCAAAATCCTGTTTCTGCACCATGCATGTGCTACATGGTGGCAAGTCTTTTAAAGATCAGGCCACAAACCTTCCCATAGCAATACCCGTTTATCTGCCTGACAAGCTTCCCATCTGCTTTGTCTGGGGAGCTGCTGCATGGCTGAGCAGTGCTGGCTTTTCCAGCCTCGAGCTCTTGCATCACAGCCCAAAGTGTGAACAGAGGCCACAGCCTCCCTCTGCAATCGGCCCCCAGTTCCTCTGTGCCTCGCTGTTACTCAGCGCTTCTCAGTGACAGGGAATTAAGTAGGATTTCTAGGTCATTGTGGGCCTGTCAGGAGGAATTGTCTCCTTTAGCCCTCATTATGGAAGCTCTTTCTGCAACACCAGACTTCAGAACAATTGCAGCCCGGTTCCCTAAACATCAGCTAATGAGACAGAGCTGTTAGCAGCAGTTTGCTAAATAAAGGCTGCTTCTGCCTGAGATAGAATAAATCCAGAATGGATTTTTCTTAGCCGTCTCTCACACTGAAGGTATTTCAAAGGACCCTTATTAAAATAATGAGCTAGATGTTCCTGTGTGGTGGCTGCATAGGGCCAGCGCTGGATGATTGTGCCAAGTACTTCCCTGAAGCAGTGACTTCAAGTGACTTGTGCTCAAGTGACCTGAAAACATTCCCAGCTCCTTTCATGCTTCAGGCCCCTCTGATTTTGAAATGTCTTGAGCGCTTACCCCGAGCTTCTGTGACCTTGTCCCACTCAATGACTTGCTGCCTCATGGTAGGGAAGTTACTTGTAGCTCTTGGTTACCTCAGCCTCCTTTGGTGCCATAGGACAATATTCTTCATCCTCGTTCTGTAGCAAGGCACGTGCAGCATTTGTGTGGGGAGGCTCTGGAAAGGTGAAGGATCCGAGATCCGAACAGATGCCTGCCCTCGTGTTGCCATCCCTTTTCGAGTGCAGAACTGTGTCCAAAACAGCCCATGGTTGCTCAGCAGCAGTGTTTGGATTGCCCTTCAGTGGTTTTTTGGAGCAGAGCACTCTGTCTCGGCCAATTTCAGATGAATCCAGCATGCTGGCAAGCCACACAAGAGTGACAAGAGACAGCCTGGACAGTCACTGAATTGTACCCAGGCTCAGGGAGTACTGCAGAGAGGGTTGCCTTGCACAAATGCTTCCCAAAGGTGCTGGGCCTTTGCAGCTTGCTGTTAGGAGGCAGATGAGCTTCCTCCTTGCATTGGATGCCAAGCAGAAAGGACATAGCCCTCACCTGAATGGTCTGAGACCAGGTAATACCGTGGATGCTTCTGAAGCAAAAATTTTCTTTCTACCTCTTCCTGTTCTCAGAAAAGATGGGATGAGAGGTGAGCTCTGAAGTGTGATGGGTCTGAGTGCCCTCTGGCTGGAGCAGCCATAGGAGAGCCAGGAGCTATTACCTGGCCAGTTTGCAGGCTCGTTTGAAGTGGTGCTTTGATGTGGCAGTGGGAACAAGGAAGGTAAATGGTGTCTAGACAGGTTTTTCTCATTCTCTGTTGCTGTCTGTCTCTGCAGCAGCGCAGGCAGTGCCAAACAGGCTGAGCAGCTCCAGGATGCGGGAAGCAGAGCTATTTTGAGGAAGGTGGGAACACGGCTCCTTCAGAGGGCCGGAGGCTGCTCTCGCTCAGCCCCAGTCCAACCGTGGCTCTCATGGGCCATCTCCCTCAGGCTGCAAGGAGCCGAGTCGCTCAGATTCCTGTTGTCCCTCCCTTCAGCTGGGAGCAGAGCCAGGAGAGGCCCTGGCAGCATCTGCCATGGGGGGCAGATGTTAGGGGAAACACAGTCATCCATAAAACACTGTGGCTGGGATCTTCAATGGAGCCTCAAAGGTTAAGTGCCCATGGAACAAAACGCGCTAGTGAAGGTCAAGAGAGAAATCCTGGCTCCTGGGACTGCTGCCTGGCTTGGAGAAGCCTTTGGAAGTAGCTCTGGCCCCTGGGACCAGTCCTGTTGCAGCATCTGCGCCTTGTCCAGGTGAATGCAGCTCTTGGCCTCATTTGTTGAGGCATGGCTGGGGAGCAGGAGGAGGCTGCGCAGCGCCAGGTTTCAGCTCCTGGGGGGGCTTTCAGAGGTGGCAAGTGACTGTTTACAAGCCAAGTCTGGCTTCTCTCTTTTACATCCAGCTGCCAACTTGTGCAAACGTGAGCTCACAGCAGAATGTTCCTGACCCTGCCTGTCCTATCCCTTCACCCCTGCCAAAGTAGGGCTCGGCCACAGGTTTGGAGCAGAGCTGGAAACTTGGCTCTGAGGCAGGGAGCAGAAAAGAGCCCAGCTTGCTCTCCTCTGCCTGCACTGGCCTCTGCGCTGCTGTGGGGAGTACAAATATGTTCCCAATCTGTTTGTTTCACTGACATGACTCCAAGACACACAGAGAACCGATACACTCACCAAGAAGGGGCCATTGTTAGACGGACCTTCTGCTGGAACCGCTGCTCTCCGGCGCTTCCCTCGTGCTCCAACCACGGCACCAGGAGCTCCTCGTCTTTCCCCGGGCCCCAGGTTTAGCTGCAGATGAACACAGACCCAACACAGGGTTAGGCTTGCTTCCCTCGGCGTGTCCATCTGCGTGCCCCGAGCTGGCTCGCTGATTTACGTGCCCATCTTGCAGGTAATCAGGGCTGCGGGTGGAAGAGGCTCCAAGCATTGCCTCCCCGTGGAGCACCCCAGCTTGGCACTGACACATGGCTAATTGTGCCCAGGCAGGCAGCCCAAGCGGGCGGGCAGCCTGCTCTGTGCTCCAGGGAAAGGCAGTGATGCATTTGGCTCAGGAGGAAGAGTCCCAGTGGAACCAGGGAAGAGGAAGGGACTTACCTCGTTTCATCCTCTGGGGTATATTCCCTCCATCCAATCCAATTTTGCTTGCAACTTTTATGAACAATAAACCTGTCCACTATTTCCCTTGAAGGAATTGGCACAAATCCAATAGATTGCCATAGGAGATCCTGTTATTAACGTCAGCCTAATCATTCCTTTCTATGTCCTTCCTACCTTCTTTGCTATTCATACTCCTAAAAAGCCTGCAGGAAGTTAAAAGTCCAGCCCAGCCTCTTCTCCAGCTGCTCCTGAAGCTGCATCTGGATGCAGGTCCTAACCCTTCCCTCCCTTGGCTCTTGGGGCTGTGACACCAGGCAAATTGCCTGTCCCAAACCCTCATGCATCATCCACAGACCTCAGGAGCCACCTGGCAGCTCAATACATAGCCCCCAAGCTGGCAGGACAGCGAGCAGAGCCACAGGGAAGGGGACAGCACATCCCCAGGACTGTTGTTCCACGCAGGGTGGCAACGCTGCTGCTGCTGGGCCGGCGTCTCGCTGGGAAAAGGGCCTCTGACCAGGACACAACCGGGAGCGCTCGGCTGAGAAAATTCTCTACTAAAAATAGCAGCAAGAGATGTTTAAGGAGAAAAACAAGTCAGAGCCTTGGGAGAAGTTAGTTCCCAGATAACTGGCTAATTGAACTCCCTCAGGACGAGGAGTCTTTTAACCCTTTCATGCCACAACTCCTTTCCATGCTGCTGGGCAAGGTGACCATGGTCAGGAATGCAACTTGGGATGCACCAGCACGGCTTTCCCCATCCCTCTTTGCTTTGCCATTGCATTCTTTTCCCCCTCTAACTCATGCCACATCTTCCTATTAGCGTGCTCGCTGTGTCAAGCCTTTTATCTTTGCCAGCCAGTGACTTCATTCGGGCTCCCTCTAATTCTTGATGCGCTTCCTAAGAAAATAATCTCTGCTGAGCCCCGCAGCACGACTCCCTGCGGGTCGGCAGCCCGTGCTGGGGCTGCGCTCAGCAAGGTAAGTGTTTCCACATCTGCTAGCACGATGCGGGGCTGTCTCTGGAACAATATTCCCCGAATCCGCACGTCTTTGGGCCTGCACGTGGCTGGTGCGCAGGCGCCTGCGGAGCGCCCGTTCCCGCTGCCGATCGCGTCCTTTGTTCCGATGGATTCACGGGCCAGCTTCAAAGCCGGGCTCCAGAGCCGGCTCCTCCTCTCCTCTCCTCCCGGCGCACGATGACGGGAGCAGCTTCCGTAGGCTCCTGCTCCCAGACAACGGCGTGTGAGACCTGAGGGTAAAATTACACACACATAAAAAGGGGGAGAAAATTGATGCCGTAAAACATGAAAAGACGTTCCTGAAAGGGGAGCTGTTTCCAGCCTTGTCACCAGCACCGCTCTGCGCGCCTGCTCCCTGCCTCTTCCGTTCCCAGCTGGAGCCTGTGCCTGCAGCTCTCGGCTCTCACGACTGCTGCTCTCCTCCCAGCTCCTGTTTTCTGCAGGAAGAGGACGTCGCTGGTCTCCCATCAGCAGGACTTTCCATCTGCGTCTTGGTGGTCAAGCTACAGGCTGGGGCCGAGTTGAGGATCAAGAGATTAGAGTCACAGACAGAGGAATAGGGGATTATAGGCTAAAACCCTGCGAGTCTCTGTATTGATGGTTGGGCCACAGCCAGACATTAAGGAGCATTGCAAAGCCTGCTGCTGATAGCGTATCCGCTTAGGCCCTCTCTTTGCATCTCAGGCAGCTTTTGATATATGCGTCCTCATCAAAAGCCAGGGTCGG